CATGCTGTGAAGCACAGTCCCGCCACCAAAGTTCTCTCTAGCTAAAGTTCGCCTGAAATCCCCAACCCAAAGATCCATAAAGCCTCTGTAAACGAGTGTGATACTTCACTTGACATGCAACGCAACGGACATCTCTCTTGAACAACCTTCTCTCCCCAGTTTCCCAGATGATTTCTTCGAAATAATCATAATCGCTGGACGTTTTCCACGCTCGGGGGTTGCTTGGGTAAAAAAAACTTGACCCGTAGCCAGGAATCCGAACGAATGATCTGTCGAATGCCCACAGAATCGATCTTGCATTCTGGGCAGTAGACATCGCACTGCTCTGTAGAGGTAGCCATTTTCGACAGCGACCGAAGTGTGCGAAGGGAGTTGTGATGGATAGGCGTTTGAAGAGGAGTAAAACGTTGATCAACGTTGCTGAGAAGTGTTTGTGTTTGAAAGCTTTGTGCTTTCAGAAGATTGTTTGGGAAAGTTTTGTAGAGGAGTAGCTTTAGTAGAACAGAAGAAGGAGAGAGGGGAGATTTATAGAGCTGGTCAGCCCCTTGTCTACCAAAGGAAGACAATAATCAGTACGCCAGAATTGCACGTGAGAAGTGAGAGCACATTTATCAAAACCGAGAGTCATATGGGTAGAAGTAATGAATGATTTAATTGCAGATATCAAACAGCAGCTTTCATCTCGCCTATTATAATTACCACTCACGCGCTTCTCTCTTCACTGACCAGCAGTACTACCCCTTCCGTCTTCCCAACACCACAGAATCGAAAGCTTCATCCTGTCTCATCCTCCATAGCCTGGCGATGGTTTTCAAGAACACCTCGTGGAACCCACTTCATATAAATCCCGAGCATACCGCCAACACTGACCACAAAAGTGATATTCATGGTAGGTTATTCGGAACCTCTCTCTAGTGTCAGGATGATACCAGTCGAAGGTACCGAGTGGACAATCGGCGGATGGCCTATAATTGAAAAATCCGCCATTGCGTTGATAATGTCTAACGATTCGTCCGTTGTGTAGATACGTTGTGTATTCGGTGCCGACGGGATGCTTTTTGCAGTATCCGCAAAAAACGTCCGAGCGGGCGTAATCGCATGGTGCCATTTTGAGTTTTTGGTTGTGAGAAGAGAGTAGATGGTTGTGGAGTTGTAAGAAACTTTGGATTGTTGTAATCCTGTGAACAAGTAACTTTCGTTGAATAGAGTCACATAAGAAATGGGAGGATAGAGGGGGCTTTATACCACCGAAATTCTGGTAAGCAAAGGGAATACAATAATCAGTATATCAGATTACACGTGAAACAGAGAGCAGGTTATCCTCAAAATTCCAAAGACTAATGGATTTGAATAAATAGCATGATTGTACTTTGAATAAACAAAATACAAGCCACGGTCTAGAATAACCAAATAATACTAAAAATAAGGCCATCCAAAGCTGCGGCTAGCTGAGCTACGGAGGTATACTCCGCGCTATAACCAAACCATTCATAGAAAAAATCCTTCCAAGATGATTTGGCACTTCACTATACCCAAGGATCCCAATAATCACAGACCAGTTTATTCAAGATATTCCTTCACCAGATACTTACTAATAAATCCTAATATTTTGGCGGGTTTTCACAGTCTTACACCTAGCGATCATCAGCTGTTTGGGTGTGAAAAAACATTGGGAGTTGGTACTGTAATAGTCTGTATACAACACCAAGACGTACAACGAGAAATTCTACACTTTAACATCCATTTTTTGATAGATAAACACAACCTCATCTCATCTCATCCCAAAAATAAGTACCCAAACCCCAGAACTCACACCAATCCTTTCGTTCCTTCAAAACCCCACCAAATCACATCACCTCCCACCATCTAAGATCCCTCCTAAATCTCTCCCTGAACAAATTAGCCGAAAACCCCATTCCAAACGAAAACAGCACCTCAACATAGAAGCAAGTCTGTATTACCCAAGTTGATCAAATACATAACCGCTCTTCCACGGTCCCTAGACTGGAAACTTACTATAATAATATTCTAGAAGTAGGAAACAGACTAGCACTTCATCCTCACCATAGGAAGATGAAGGTGAAGAAAAGATGGGAAGAACTCTAGTACCTATCCTATCTGTAAATCTAGAAACTATAGATTACAAACATGATACCCGTCCATGATCGCGATTTCAAGACTGGATACTTATAGCTCTTTGCTAAAACCATATAATCCAGAACTCTTACTATACTCATTACATCTCTACCTACCCTCTTAACTTGAACCCGGTAAACACCTAGTATACCCATCTCTACACCTCTAACTCCAAATTCAAGAATCAATAAAACTTCGCCCTTCCTACCCCCTTTAACCTCATTGAGGTATTATTCTCAACTTGTACACAAACCCGGGACTTTCTCTCTGCACTCTATAAGTACACTCTCAGAACCTACCAACACCATACGCATCCACATACACCACATCCCCACCGCCCCATCACTATCTTCATCACGAAACCTAACACCCATCGCTTGCTAAATTTCCTGAGCGCTAACATAGATACCTTCTAGCCCTACCCCCAAACTAAGAACCAAAACAGCAAAAGCAAAAGGAAAAGCAAAAGTAAAAGGAAAAGCAAAAGCAAAAGGAAAAGCAAAAGCAAAAGGAAAAGCAAAAGCAAAAGTAGAACCAGAATCAGAATCAGAATCAGAATCACAAAATATACCCGTAGCGTAAACCGCCGTAAGTAATACGAAACGAAGAACCAACAACCACCAGCCAACAATCAACAACCAATAACCAACAACCAACACCCTAAACCCCACCAAAAAGCCATCATACATCAAGCTATCATACAATAACAGATCCTCTCCTCCCCTCTTCCCCCTCTTCCCATATAACACGTGATACACCATAACCTCCCACCAGCAAGACCTCACATCCCAATTCCATAAGGTACCAGTATCACCTCCTTCACCTCCAACAAACCCTCCCTTCCCCTCATACCCTTACCTCAACACCCTTAACACCCATCACAAACCCAACCCGTACCTATGTACCTAGACACCTCCACCTCCACCTCCACCTCCACCTCCACCTACCCACCAGCAGCTTGACTCACAAACTCATCACCTAATCACCCAACNGTACCTAGACACCTCCACCTCCACCTCCACCTCCACCTCCACCTACCCACCAGCAGCTTGACTCACAAACTCATCACCTAATCACCCAACCCCTCAACACCCCAACCCCCAACCACCTCATCTACGCGAACACCTCCAGCTTACGCGACCACCTAACCACCTAACCACCAGATCACCCAACGTGAACGCGTACTGTACCGTGACAAGGGTATGTAATCTTACAATATAAGCGAGAACCACAAACGACACACAATCACGACGAAACAATCACGACCACCAGCGACGGTTACACAAAGACACTCCCCAATCTCCATAACCTCGCGAGGGAAATGAAGGGAAGAGAGCGGGACAGGGGGGAACGGAATAGAACGGAAAGGATTCCGCCAAAGTACTGTACTGGTACCCTTACCAGAATACCGAGTTACAGTAGCTGTAGAACTTGGAGGTAGAACTTGAAGGTGAAACTTGAAGGTGAAGGCCAGCTCTAGAGATCCATACATCCATACATCCATACATCCATACATCCATACATCCATACATCCATACATCCATACATCCATACATCCAATCACCCCCCTGCCCCTACCCACCTTCCCACCATTTCAACATAGCAACCACGCATCCAACCCACACATCCAACCACACCACTCTTCCCCCTCTTTCCCCTTCCCCTTTCCTCTCCCACCACCTTCCCTCCCCTCTCCCCAAAAAAGCAAAAGCAAAAGCTCCAAATACCTACCTAGGTATCCAAGATCCAAGATCCAAAGACCAAATACGACACAAGTGAAAAGATGTCAATGAATAGATTGAAAATGGCAAGAAATGACTGTATCGCAAACGAACAGAAGGGAAGGAAACAAATCCAGAATAGTAACATGAAATGCAATGAATCGAAAAGAAGTTGGTAATCTCCAAATCCAAGTCGAGTTAAGTCAAGTCAAGTCAAGACCTCTCCCTCTCACCAACCAAAGAATCACGCATTCCCATCGGAAAATCACAAGTGACAATGTCAGTACCGTTGTGAATATCACCCACTTACTCATTACTCACCCAGTCACTCACTCACCTACCCACTTCCTCATTACTCACTCACTGACTCATCTTCAAACCAACTCATCAAAATAATCAGCAGAAAAAGGACCTCTCAATTGAATGATCAGTAACTAAAACCACTGTATGTACAAACCATATAGGTTCTTTGTGTAAAGTATGGTATCACGAAAGCAATCCCCAAACCAAGAGGACCCCCATCTCTCCGAACCCTCACCAATCCATCGAGAAAAGAAATCCATTCAGGCAAAAAGAGAGGATGTAGCAGTAGACGTAAATACAAATTCTTCCATCCTTCCATCCATCCATGTAAAATGCTCCACCGCCTCTTCTCCGCGTAAAAAGACGCATAAGGGAGGCAATTGTAAAAAGTTTCGGAGCTTATTCCATCCATCCATCCATCCATTTTCAATGTCAATCAAATAGTCCCATACGCCGAGAGAATATGCAACTCATACATGTAAAGAAAAAAAATGTCCGGTCGAAAAGGTGACAAAGAATGGCGAAAATCCTTAGGAAAAAACCAATGAGATAGAACCTTCCCATCTGTACATCCCCGAAAGCCCCATCCTCAGAATTTTCCCAAGTGCCAGATCGATGCAACCATATCCATAACCGTAACCGAAATGTGACATGAAGACATGAAAAACCAGTGACCATCAGAAATCGAAAAGGAAATCAGATCTGATATCAATTTCAATCATCCCCCCCCCTTTCGTAAGTACCAAACGTATGTTGTATCAAAGTGATGCGATATGTCGATCTGATCCAAACATGCTGGAAATTTCGAGAGAAGAGAGAGGAAGAAAGACAAGGTCGCAATTAGTCCATATCGTCATCATCCGAGTCGAGTCCCTTTGCCTTTCTCTCAGCTGCCTTGCGAGCGGCTTCCTTTTCTGCGGCTTCCATTTCTGCCTCCTCCTCAAGTCGTAAACGCTCCGCCATCTCACCCGGGTGAGGCTTCTTTTGTGGTTTGCCGAGACTTAGCTTATACGTACGGATATCGCTCTCGTCGAAGCCCGATGTTCCCTTCATGCTTCCCACGAAGAATTGAGGGGTCTCTCCGACGGAAGCGGCCTTGGCCTGAATTTCATCAGAGGCAACAGACATTCCGAACAAGTTTCCCTTGTATGAGCCGACTGAGGAAGTGGCGGAGAACGTGCGGCGTTCATTGCCTGCAAAAATTGGGCGAGCCGGAGACTCAGCCATTAGGGAGATAACCTTCTTCTTGATTGGCAAACCGCCCTCGGGGGATGCTGGCGAGACAGGTGATACTGGAGAGATGGGAGAAGTTGGGGAGAATTCTGGTCGACGGAGGGGCTCGATGTACTCGCGTTCGTCGAACGGGAACACGGTTTCGTCATCTTGTACTGACAATGAGCATCGGGAGTCCTCAGAGCTATAGGGTGGCTTGTGTCGGGGCTCTCTGATGGGCTCTAGAGAAACACCTGGGGAGCGAGTCGATGCGGTAAGTGAGCGAACGGAGCGTCCATCAGTACTCGAGGTCGTTGGAGTTCCCATGAATTCTGCGGTAGACGATGGTGCATAGATGCTACCGGCAGCCTTCTCGTCGACGATTTCAGTAGGCTTCTCGTCAACGAAGCCAGCAGTCTTTTCGCCAACGATCTCCGCAGTCTTCTCGCCCTTTAGCTTCTTGAGGGAGCGAGACAACGGCATGTTTAGGACGTCCGAGTCCGAGTCGTCACTGTCGCTGGTTTCTGGTTCTGTGTGGAGTTCTTCGAGATTGGCACCAGGAATGTGTATGCGTAAGGAAGAGCGTTGGAGATCGCGGGTTGTGAATGTCGAGACTTTTTCTTGCTCATGAGCAGCCGCGTCTACGTGAGCACGTGAGTAATCGTTGGCGTACAGCAAATCATCGCTTGAGGACTCGGTTGACATTGGACCGCCAGATGTTGCAACCGAGGCTGAGCCGTCAGGCGGCGCTGAGACGGTCGTCCATTGCACGTTTTCTTCTTCATCCAGGGGTCGTCGAGACAGTTGTAATAGCTGCTGCGAGGATGAGACTCTCTTGGTTGGAGGCCTCTCCTCTTCTATATCCTCAATTTGCTGTTCGTCATCGTCACCCGAGTCATACACGAGTGAGAGTGATTCATATTCCATTGGTACGTCCTTACTCGTAGCCATTGACAATTGCGAGGAATAGGGTGATTCTGTTGGCAACACCTCCTCACCTTCTACGTCGAATCGTACCCTACGCGGGCTTGCTCTGTTGGTGTTAGATGAGGTGGAGGAACGTCGTAAGGCACTTCTACGTGTGGTACCAGATTCACTCAGTTCCGACGAACCAATCGAGGCTTCATCTGTATTTTGTCGTTTGGGTATAGGTGGTTTCGGAGGCTCGGGTGTTGAAGTCAACGATCGAGTGTCGGTACTTGCATCTACACTTCCCAGTCCCACATCGATACTCTTGCCTTTTCCTTTACTATCTCTCTCGACCACGGGTGACTTGGGTGATCTAGGTGTTCGTGGGGTATCACAGCTCCCTCTGCGCTCATTGCGATCGGTACTGTCGAGCAATGGCAGATATGCTGGAGTGAAGACGCCTTGGAACTCGATTTCCCGTTCATGCGGACTTCGAGCCATCTCTTCGCTCTCCTCCTCGTCTTCCTCTTCCTCTTCCTCTCGTGGTATTGCCATGGGCCATGTCGTCTGGAGACGGCCGGCTGAATTGGGCTCTGGTCTCGCACTACTGGTGCCTGAACCTGACTCAATGCTGTTGGTGGTGGCCTCTAGTCCCAACGATTTATAGTCCTTCATTGACTCGGCAATTATTTTTTGTACCTTTTGCGAAACATCTTCATCCACATCCTTGAGAAGTTCCTCCGCGTATTTAGTGAAGTCCTCGGTCATATTTCGTCGGTACTGCAGCACCTTGTTGTCCAAGGCTGCCAGGCGGCCCTGCAGCTCGTGTACCAGTCTGGTGGCCTCATCCATTGTCTGGTAAGGGCAGATCGGATTGAATACGTGCAGAGTGGGAATGGCGATAGGAGTGCGGTGCGCACCGAGCGAGGAACCTTATTAACAACACATTGACGTGGGTGTGTTTGTAAGTGTGAGTCGGTAGAGAGAAGTGGGTGTGAATTGGGTGGTGTTGTCCGCAGTCAGTGGTCGGTCCTGTTGCTCTTTGGCGGGTTATCGTCAGATCGTCAGTTCGTCAGTCAGATTGGTACTGGTATAGGTACTGGTTGGTACTGGTCCTGGTACTGAATTCTCAAAGTTTGAGTGCTCCAGAGTGCTCTGGGTCTGTCACCGGCTAGGCCTTCTGGGCCCTCGTTGCTAGCGGCGTGGTGGTGGAAACTTTGGCCGACCCATTTATTGACAGAAACTTTTTGTGGCTGGGTTGGCAGGTGGTGGGAGTGGACGTGGGTGTGCGTGTGGGTGTGGGTGTGGGTGTGGCTGCAGATGCGTTGTGGTGGGGAGAGATCGGACCAGAAGGGCCAATTGTGAATTGTTGCGGCACCGTCACTCAATGGGCAATCGTCGGATCTGTTGTGACCACAATGAGAATGCCATTGACCTGATCTGCCACCAGATCGGATTGTTGGTTGACGCGAGAACGACTATGCGCAATGGCAGTGACAGCGTGGGAATGGGAGTTGCAGGGCGTGGGGGTTGTCTTGGTGTTGGTGGGAGCCACTAAAACTGTTTTCAGAAGTTGCACTGCAGCAAAGAGCTTTGTCGCTGTCGGCTCCTTCCGAGCATCGGAGCGGAGCTGTCGGAAAAACATATCGATGTTTATCCGATCTGCCCTGCCACGTGAGCTCCATTCCAGCCTCAATTGCTGGGCAGGCCCAGGTGGGGACCTTGGAAATACGACCTTGGAAAGCTTCAAGTGGTCACCTGTCTGCGGGGTTGTCGCAATTGTGAGCCGCCTTAATGGACGTGGTCTCCTCTCCCAATTGCTTCACGAACGTCATCTGTCCAAGGTAGTGGACGTAGCTACAGAAGCGTCCAAGAATCACATGAAATGCAGCTTTCATGTGAAAGAAAGATGCCAAAGTTTGTTCAAAGTAAGTTCACAATATAACTATAACTATAACTTGTAAAGTCTCAATTGGACACTCCGATTATATACACAATTCTACCTACATGCTTTCAACTAATTCTCCTATGAATTTTTGGCCTAGTCTTACACTTATCCTCCATGTCATCACTACTTTCTGCACATCAGATGATGTTGTTTGGTGTTGGTTGACAGCTGGCTACTCGTCAAAAAGCGAGATGCTACAACAAGTCATATTTACATCTCTGCTCATGCCTGCACCTGGTAATCTCCGTCACGCTTACGGGTGTATAAAAGCTTATTCCACTTTCTCACCACATAAAGGTTTACGCTTGCCTGGCCATCTTGACCCTTCTCTACCCGCCAATTGCGAAGTCAATATTTCGTTGGCTGCTTTCTCTTCTTGTTAGTGGAGTGAAAGAGAGCTGTGTCTCTTCTATTTGTGTACGTTGTCACGGGTCTATGCGTTGAGTTTGGTAAACTGGCATGCAGCCGGGAGATCTAAAAGTGCGCTGAACATTTTTCTGCTAGACGCCTACTTATGCTATCTATTAAAACAAATTCAATTTCCAGGGCCTGTCTAGTGGGAGCATGGATCTACATATAGTAAGCACTACCATCCTAATTCCATGTATCCAGCGATACATGGAAGCTATCTACCTCGGAACTTTCTCCGTATCTTTCTCCGCATCTCCCAGATATAAATTACAAACTTCACCACTCTATATACCTCCAACCACCCACCCAATCTCCATACATTAACACCAATTCTCCACTAGTTGCCCACCAATTCCGTCCCAACATCTAAAAAGATTTTCCCCATTCACAGATCATCATCATCAAGTACCTGGTCCCCAATGCCAACACGAATCACCCTACGAATGTCACGAGCCGATTTACAGTCTAGCGACCTTGCATCCATGGTAAAATCATCTGCTTGATTTGCTGTGCTTAATGAGAGGGCAGGGTGATGTGTCTCTAATTAGAACATTCTTATAGGGAAGATATTATTTTAGCTCTATACGTGAACCATATCTCAAAGGGGACGGGATGTTTTTATATCACATGAGGACTACCGACCTACAAGAGCTAGCGGCAGGAGCAGGAATCATCAACAACTTCATATTCCCTGCCCGAGAGCAGGATACGTACGCCAGAGCCCTATCTTAAATTTCCCACATAAAGCACATAATAATAATAATCTTACAGTATAAAATCCTGCCGAATAGAGGCCGGAGTATTGAACTCGTTGGTCCTGTAAAGAAAAAGCTCAACTTTCCATTCATCCACTTCGCTTCAAGAGAAGCACTTCGGATCCAAGCAGCCGATCGTACTGTAGCTTGCATATCAGCATCGCGGTTTCTTACGACTCAGTCAGCAGTCAGCATTTGGTGAATTCAGAAAGATCCAGCAGAAGGTAGAAAAAGAACCCTCTATTGAAATATCATAGACAAAATGGCCATCACAGAATCGTGTTGTGATGTGTTTAGTGCTCATTGGTACAGTAAAGAATATCCCGAAGGTCCCCATATGAATCCACGTTATACGGCGCAATAGCAGCCACTCAGAAGATATACAACTGAAGCAGTTTACGATACTTAGCTGGCTATTGGCTAGATGGTTGCGAGCACGAGCGGAGGTTCGCGTAATGGGGATCGGTGTAGAAACCACGCCCCACTTTCTACCTCGAGATTACTTGCATTAGGCTAGTCTCCTTCCGCCTTATGGATCCTACAACCACAAAGAATGTAGCTCTGCATGATGAAGTATAAATCTTTCTCGCCGCCTTCATATATTCAAACCATAGAAAGTCTGAAGTCTTCCATGAAGGTCCCCTCGTAGCGACCGAATATGGATGATTCCCATGTCCCCCATTCCCCCCACGAGAAAGAATTGCATTTCCAATCGTTCTCACGTCAGCCTTAGCAATTGATTTGCGGATTTCACACGGGTTCCTCAGCAGCCAAGGTGTATTTTGGTGCGGATTATTTTTTCAAGGGGGCACAGCTAGCTTAAGTACGTACATCGTGAACAAGGGGTTGTCAGCCGCGAGTTGGAGATGTAAGATATATCTAGACGCTAGTTCCTGTTGAATTTGGTTTTGAGAGGATTATGAATTGACAGAGGGGAGTAAGAGGAAATAGGAACGATAGCGAAAATGGCTCAAGTCCTAATAAAAACAGATATCCTCATCGTAGGCGGTGGGCCTGTAGGTAAGATTACGTCTCCCACCCATCCTCTCCTCCATTCTATCCATTCCCCTTCTTTACTCCCTCCAATCCTCCTTCTCGACTTCCCCACTCACATCCAGCCACAGGAATGTTCGCCGCGTACCGCCTCGCCAAATTCGGGCAATCATGCATAGTCATCGAAAAGAACACACATACGACCGTCCACCCAAAAATGGAATACACGAATCACCGTTCCATGGAGATATATCGTCACGTTGGACTTGCGGAGGATTTGAGACCCCTGGGTGAACCGGAGTCGTGGGGGTTCTCGGAGATTTTTACGGATGGATTGGGGAGGGGGAATATTGAGGTGCCGATTGCTAGGATTGTATGTTGTGGTTTCTTTTTTTATAGTCTTTTTGTGTTTGTCTTCTTGAGAGGAAGTGAGGAAATGTGATGTGGAGATGCGGGATTCCTTTACTAAGAGAGGTACGAGAGAGAAGGGGAGGGATATGGAGTGAAAGAGACAGAAAAGAAGGTAGGAAGCTTTAGAATTGACGTTCACTGAAATATCAATAGGACCGACTATCACCCGCGGAACTACGGAAAGTCTGGAAGGAATCAAATGACGGCTCTCATCCATTAGAACCACAAATGCGACTCTCACAGATCATCTACGAAAAGAAACTCAAAGAACTCGTCCAGAAAGAAGAATCGGTCCACGCTTTCTGGGGGTACTCTTTCCACTCGCTTACCGAGAACAATGACAGTGTCTCGTCGACTGTCACGGATCCAGAGGGGAAGACTGTTGTAATTGAGAGTCAGTATGTGATTGGATGTGATGGAGCTGGCAGTCAGGTTCGTTCGAGTATTGGGATTGAAGCCCCGAGAAAGCAGCCGTACGTATATCCTCCCCATTCCCCCTTTTCATTAAGCGAAGCGAGAAGTTGCGATGATTACGGGCTATATTTACTCAAACTAACATTTTACGGCAAGGGGATTGAATCTTGCTTATGCACATTTCCAAACCAAAGAGATCGATAAAATGCAGACGAAGGGCGATTGGTGGCACATGACCACCCTCAATGGTGCTTTGGTAGTATCACAAGATGAGATCGAAACATATACTGTCCATCGAATGATTCCGCCAGGAATGCCCTTTCAAATTGACGACCCTGTGGAATTTGTTAAATAGTCCCTTGGTGGCGTAGGTGGGCCGTTGGATATCGATGTTGAAGTTGTTCTATGCGGGAGATGGTCAAGTGATTTGTCAATAGCTTCTTCTTTTCGTTCACCCGGCGGGCGTGTGTTTCTCGCCGGAGACGCCGGTATGTTTCTTTTCCCCATCCTTACTAAGCGTCTCCCACATACTTGCATAGCAAGAAAGATTTGATACCGTTTCTAAACTGATACTCGACAGCTCATCAGCTCACGCCAGCCGGTGGCCACGGCCTCAACTCCGGAATCCAAGACGTCTACGACCTCACGTGGAAACTATATTCCGTCCTCCAGAAATGGGGCGGCTCCCATCTCCTCACATCATACAGCCTTGAACGTCGTCCAATCGCAGAGCTCAACATACGTCTTGTCGAGAAGGCAACATTAGAGGTCTTTCTCCCCTGGTTCACCATGGCCCAAACAATTGGTCTGGAGAACCTCACCGCGAAAACGGATCACGGCCAACAATGTCGCGAGAAAGTTAGGGATGAGGTATTAGCAGGTAGGTGGGTAAATGAACAGAATGGCTCGGTGCTGGGGTATAGGTACGATGCTTCTCCGGTGGTGGTTAAGGATGAGCAGGGGACGCGGCCGGAGAGCAGTATTACCGAGTACTTTGCTAGTACATGGCCCGGGACTAGGGCTCCACACGTGTTCTTGAAGGATGGAAGCACGAGTGTTTTTGATCTTTATGATAGGAAGGGGGGTTTTAGCATTGTTGATTTTACGCAGGAGGGGGTCGTTTCGGGGTCGTTCAAGCGTGTGGCGGGGGAGTTTGGGATTCCTGTTACGGCTATACATATTCCGGACGAGAAGCATTGTAGAGATGTTTGGGAGAGAGATGTGGTGTTGGTTAGACCAGATGGTTTTGTGGCTTGGAGGTGTCCGGTTGAGGGAGCTGGAGTTGTGGGTGTTGAGGAGGTGAAGAAGGTCCTGCTTACTGTTGTTGGGAGAGAGGAATAAGGGGCTTTTGATTTGACCAAATTGATCTTTCGGGAAGTTCAAAATTACGAGGTTCACGTAAGTGATCAGCTCTATAACTAGATAGAAGATAGTTACGCCAATTTAAAGTATATCTGGGATTATAAGAACCCGCGAGTCACCCCGCTAAATGCGATGTTACATAAAATGGATCATTCCTTCTCGAAGTTTAAATCACGACAATGGCATAGGTTGGCCAGCCCAATAGGTAGAAGAAAAAGACGTCTGTTTAAAGTACACCAGGGGATGCCTGCAAGAGTATTTACGAAAGTCAGGCAGCCCTCTAGGTACAGGCCCCCCTGTGTTGTGTCTGGATGTCTAAATGGAAGAATTGCATTTCTAGCCTATATATCCAAAGTAGAAGGCTAATTTACTTGTAATGTGGTCTAAATCAGAAGTTTCTACTACTAACTGTCCTGAAAGGCGGGAGATCTCTGTAAAACACCCCCTCCCCCGCCCCCTTATATTTAAAAATACACTTTTTCCGGAAACAACGCAACGGGTTCTGTAGAAGAAATAGACGATGATTTCTGGTACATCAGGGCGTGTAGTAACTCGCGAGGGCTCTTACTACAAGAGCCTATACCAAAGTTGATCAGCTCCTCGCCAAAGACACATCTGCCTAACGAATTGCTACATCCTCTGAGTGTTCCAAAAAAAAAACCTAAGAAAAAGATGCCCTGAAAGCTCGGATATCCCTTACTCCGTAACACCTGTGGAAACTGGTAGGTAGAACGTCTAATTAGGTTTGGCCAGTAACATTGTACTGGCTCTCTCAGGTGTTACGGAGTAAGGGACACGCTATACTTCGTTAACTTCCCATTTAATGGCTTAATATCAAGCAAGTAGTTCTAGAGCAGGAAATATAGATGTCAAATAAATCGTCCGAGCCTCAAACGTGTCGTTTTGAGGATGTGCTTCAAGCCGGCTTGTTCCTTCTCTTGAATGTTCGAAAATGGGCCTTGTCATACTTACTTTGAAGTACTTGCTTGGGATCCTCTCATTTTACACCATCCGATTCCTCTGGGAACTCGGTGGCAGAGATTCTCGTACACGTACGAAAATTTCGTACACAGGCCTAATTAGGTAGTTAAAAGTAGGGAACCCAGGGATACGACTAAGACAGAGGGTTAACAGCCTCTCCGATTAACTTTTAAGAGAGTTTTAGTATAACCTGAGCTTTCCGTCAGCTATCTGTCTGTATTAGAGGGCCTTTCCCACTCCCTTTACCTCTGTAAACTACCTGTAAGTACTTAATCGTTTTCACTTGTCCTTCTCCCTCCCTACCTGTAAGTGTACTTGTTTTCACTTGTCCTTTCCCTCCCTACCTGTAGGTGTACATAGTCGTTTTCACTTGTCCTTCTCCCTCCCTACCTGTAAGTACTTAGCCGTTTCTAACTGTCCCTCCCCCTCTGTCCCTCCCTGTAAGTCTCTACTTCTATTATACCCCTATTACCGCCCCTTTCCCCCCCTTCTCTATAAACAAGTAAACAAGTAAACATGTAAACCTGTAAACAAGTAGAGAACTACGTCTTTGGTATAATATTTAAGGTTTTGCGTCTATTATTGGTGTACGAAAATATGCGCGCTGGGGATAGTTTTGTACCCCGGGACGGCCCGCGGCGGGTGTCAGATATTTTCTTACACATCTGGCCTCGATTTCTCATAGGGGGTTAGAAATCCTCTGATTTCAGATCCTTTGATTGCATATCCCATGACTTCAGATCCTTAGTTTCAAGTCCCACGTCGCAGCTTCTTCTAAGCCCGTACCTAACTACAGGCCAAATCCCTCTCTCTTTCCTTAGTTCCCGCTTTCAAAATGTCCGAGTCTTGGGGCTCTGCTACAAACGAAACATTGGTGCTTTGACAACACTTGTGGCAATCGAATCAATGGATGATGAGTGTAGCTAGCTCGTCAAACAAGCAGTGCAAGCGGGGTTCTAAGTATAGATGAAGCAAATTTTGGACGTCCTTCGGGAATTATTAGCTCGGTAGTTAATAACAGACACTCTACCTACAATCTATTATCCGGTGTAGAGGTCGAGCTAGCCTATTTGGGCCGCATTGGATTGGCCTGCTTAAATCGCATAATTTGTTAGTCATGGTACTGTTATTCGGGTACTTTGGTTTCCCCCACACACTCCCGTACTGCAAAGCAAGGCGAAATCTGACAGCTTCATGCCCTAGAAGTGGTGTGAGAGAAGTCCCGTGCTCTCGCAGCAGAGTGCACGTGAACAAGAACTCGTGTTTTATGTGTATTTGCATGCGAAGATTAGGCGCCCCCGGGTCGTGTAAAAAGCTTAGTTCATCTTAGAGCCAGAAAGCTTTAGCTAGAAACATATGTTACAGTACTGTAATAATTTACTTTGAAGTAGAAACCCAGCTTTGATTCGCAATATTTCAACTCTACATGGAGAATCTTACTAAGACCCTCGGGCTTTGTACAGGAAGGCCTGCTATCCAGCGGAGACTTCTAATTAAAAGACTCAACCTTTTATATATTCGAGTCGGGATTTAAAAGATTGGTCGATTTAAATCTTTCTAGAAACTACACAAGGGACACTGTATTTGTAATCTGGTCATCTGAATGGGGCTTGATCTAAGTTGAGGACCGAATGTCTGGGTAAAACAATCTACTACTCGTACTTCAGCTGAAAAGTAAACTTTGTCCAGAAACAAGCTTGAAAGTCCTGCACATAAGGTTGAGTCCGAGCGCTATACCAGATCTATACTACTGCATCTGAAAAGTACACTTTTGGTAGACACAATAGTTGGGTGATTAGTTCCTCGTATAGTTTATACTTGCATTTATCGATTCAGGAACATGGCATAGTCGGGTACCTTGAAATCCCGACAATCAACTTTCTCAAGTCTTTCTGGAGAACCTGCTTATTCAAAGGGGGACGGGTTTCAGTTGCTTCGTCTTCGGTAAAACCATAATTCCGTAAATTTGTTGATCACCTGAAGAATTGAGGTTTCGATAAAACTGTGAGAGTTTCATGTTTCATTCGAAGCTTGGAGAAAATACGACATTTAGTCCGAAATTGGGGTACGTGATGAAGATTGTCCCGATATAATGCTTGGTAGTAACTACCTTTGTTTGTTCCACTAAAAGAAATCGAGAAAGAATTACTCAATTAGCGAAATACCCCTGAATTGATTCGCTTAAGAGTAATTCACTTTAGACGGATTTCCCCTTGCGAGTTAACAAAACTCTACAAATTATAACAAAAGAATGAAGAGGCGATTGTCTCTGAAAGTAACCAAAAGGACCTCATTACTTTGGCTGTTGGTTAAATCATCGCAATTATTAGCCAATTAAAGAGAAAAGAGAATTTCGAGCCAACGAGGAGGATTCGATGCACTCAGTTTCCTCCCATCAAGGCATCAGAAGATCGACGAACAGAGTACTTGGCATTTCGTATGTTTGGACAAGACTTTACTCGTACTGTAAGAGAGTAAGCTCAACGAACGGTGTACTTGGCACTTCGTATGTTGCTACTGGTACAAGGCTTTTAGCATAAGATTAACGAACAGAATACTTGGCACTTGATATGTTTGGAAAAGACTTTTAGAGAGTAAGCTCAACGAACCGAGTACTTGGCACTTCGTACGTTTTGAAAAGACATAGCGACGAAGTAGAACTCTTAGAGGACAATACTCTGCTTCATCCGATTCTCCGCATATTACATATTTTTTTGAAAACATGGAAAAGGGGATGGTTCCGTGCATTACAGAAGATGATCGGACTTTTTCATCTGGACTCCCAACTTCCAGCGCATAGCCCCGAGTATTTTCGTGTATTCATACTTCGCATGTCTAAACAGCGGCTTTGCTGGGTAGAACCCGTGATTATCCCCCATTCTGCACTCTTACAAACCTGGTACTTGGGACGTTCTAATTAAATTACTGTAGGTCAGGCTTTAGTGCTCTGGTCAATAAAATAGTGGAATCCCACCGGCTGATCATAGCTAGGGGCGCCATCTACCGGTTTGGTAAGTGTTCAAAGAAGGGTCAGAGCTCCCATTTGGAACTTGTTCCAGTGGAACTTTCCAGGGAAAAGCACCTCCAGAGCTATCGGCAATCGTTTTCATCAAAATACAGCGGTTTTACTAAACGTCGTGTCCTGGAAGTCGAATCGATCCCACGGACAAGCTTTTGTTGATAGGTCTGAGTATTCCTACATACCGAGGTATAAACGTGACTTAACACGTGACTTGATATCCAAACCTGGGTGACCAGATGGTATCACAGAATGTTATTTCCCAAGCAATTTTTTTTTTGGAGAAGATTTATGTAATTCAAATTTCTCTGAAGTTTTCATGATAATTTGGAATTTGGTACTGTTTAGTAAGAAAGGAATAAGAACTATTAGGCTATTTATCATCTATATTTAATTCCACCGTAGATTACATCAGTCGGAAATCGAATTGTTAAGTCCAATCAAACATTGCATGCAAATCCATTCTTTCTAGCTTCTAGACTTAATCTATTCGAAAACAGATGCGCTTGTTAGGTGAATGGCAAAGAGTAAGTACTATAGATCGACAAGCTAAGTAGTGTCAGATCCACAGCTCAGTGCCCAGACCAGAGAGCAAGTTTGCTCCAATAAGTCCGCCCCCCCTTGTCGAAACAGCCACTGCCAATGCATGGATTGTTCAGTGGTTTTTGAAGATTACGCGATTTATTGAGTATTGCAACCCCCCCCATCCCTGATTAGTCTCAGCGCAACTTTAAACTCAGACAGAACTGACCATATTGTAGTCTTATGGCATTACTATCAAGTTTTTTTCACAAATGTGCAATGTACATGGAGGTCCGCCCAAAAAGCTTACCTAGTCCAGGAACAATGGGTATCCGGTCCACCGGGCCTGTTCTGTTCGTGAGTGGGTTGTACAAAGTATATAGATGGAAAACATTTCGCAGTCTGACCGTTAATTTGCACCTCAATCCTTCACATAAGTTACACTTTCAAAAGGGTCCCCCAACCCTCACCGGAAACGACCATCTTTACATCGCACAAATACCTGAGAAATCTACAGACGATTCCAAGTTTACTCGTCACTCTCAGTCCACTCAAGGAAACCTACTCAATCATTCTCAATCGCATTAGTCGTTCGTTCTTCTCATTTTTCTTCTCGTCTTTATAATGAAGCCTAGAGTCTGTATCGTTGGAGCTGGACCTGCTGGTTTTGCCCTGGCGGCTGACCTCCAAAGTCACGGAACCGACGTATTGGTCTATTCACACCCAAAACATCGACGAGATGCCACCGCCGTTCTGTCTAAAGGATACTTTGAAGCCACAGGCGCGATTTCAGGATTCACAATGCCACGCATCACCTTTGATATGCGTGATGTTGTTGAATTCTCGAAAATCTTGATTCTCACAGTTCCGTCAACAGGACAGGAAACATTGCTGCGCCTGTTAAAGAATTTTGATCTACATCAACATACCATAATCGCCATTCCCGGGAATCTTTTCTCGCTTGTTGCGGAGGCGGAGCTGAATGCTGGGTGTATCCTCGAGGCCAACCTATCACCTTACGCATGCCGGATGGAAGATGGAGTCTTACAAGTATTTGGGATGAAACGCTCTTTCTCCATCGCAGCTCGACATAAAACTCCCACTGCGGCCTTCAAGGCTAAGATTCAAAAGATATTTCCACAAGAACTTCGATGGTGCAGCAACGTTGTCGAGGTCTCCTTAACCAACATCAATGGCGTTTTTCATCCATTGATGATGCTAATGAATGCGGGACGAATCGAGAATACTGGTGGCGACTTTTTACTATATTGTGATGGTCTTACACGCTCCGTTGCAAATGCCATACTTGCTGTGGATCGGGTACGAGTAGAGGTTGGAGAAGCATTTGGGTTTCAAATGGATGGTGTGGTCGAGACATCAAACGCATGTTATGGCGCCAGCTTCAAAGACTTGGTCGACCTCGCCCAGAACTCGAAACCACATAGAACTCTGAAGGCTCCAGCAGGCATTCAAAATCGAAATATCACAGAAGATGTCCCAGATTTGCTGGTGGCCTGGTATGGATTAGCACAAAAACTGGGAATAGATGCGTCCCCTCTTGAAGCAGTTATTAATCTTGCGAGCATGACAACCGGTACTAATTATATGGAGAGTGGGAGGAACCTGAAGCGACTTCATTTACAGAATCAGTCAAAGGATGACCTTTTGGAACAATTTAGCATTGGTAGTGCGTAACCAAGCAAGTAAATAATCAAGCGAGTGTTGTTTCTCTTCATAGCAAACCATAGAAAGTTTAGGGAAAGCAAATAAATGGAACGATATCGTTTATTCCTCAACTATAATCTTGCATCATACTTTATGGATCTTATCACACACGTAATCGAGCCTATTCTCGAGACACATTTCACTGTTAGTAGACTTCCAGAATCAAGTTCGACTGCAGCGGTTCCAAAGCACTTACTGCAGAAAGACCTTACCCCAGAATTCTACACGTTTAGATCACACAGCCATCTGCCTGACTTGGTCAATTCCCAATCTTGGTGATTGAGTTGGTGGGTGGGTCAGCAGAGCCAGAATAGTTTTCCTACGACTGGTGGACATAGATGGCGGAAGCTAGTTCTGCCTTCTGAGTGTATATGGATATACCCTCGAAGAGCCTTTGGGAATGACGCATAATCCACATCAAAGAAAAATAATTTACTCCGAGCCACACCGATCTTTCGCTAGGTCACCGGTTCCCACATGGATTCAAATGAACGTGATTTTCAATCCCAGGACGTTTTGTTGGGATTGCTCAAACACCCTGCCAGTTTGCGGCCGTTTCACAACGATAACATGAGAAATGAGTCGTAAAATATTTTAATGTGGCTGAGTAAATCGGTTCAATATGCGGGCTACTTACAGGCCTTTTGCCCGGCTTTCTATTTTGCTTTTAAACTACTATACATTAACTTCTCACAATCTAACCCACGTGGGATTCAATTTTCGAATATGAGCACCATATCGACGCAATATCAACGGCACTACAGCAAAAAACAGGGAAACAAAAGCCAGTACGCTGTTCCCCCAACCATAGCCAAGTCGATGATACATACCAGGACCAACTAAGGGGATAAAGGCCCCCGCAGTTCCTCTTATTATCGCATTGGCACCAAATACACTCGCGGCGTATTTCTCAAAAGCGTCGATGAGATAAGTCTGGATGGTTATGAATATGACGATCGAGCCAAATCCAGTGATAGCCGTTCCGATTTGTGGAATAATCCAGTGGATATGCTTCTCAGCACTCCACCCATATAGAAATAATCCAAGTGGAAACGAAAGAGCACCAGGAATAGTAATTATGGGAGACAGCCGATCTTCTGGTGTATTCGGACTTCCAGCCTCTACCCGCTTCTTGACGTCCCTATCGCTGAGTCGTCCGACATATGCTAGTCCTAGTAGGGTTCCGAGGCCACCAGCAATGAACACAAGCCCATCAGCCGACGTTGTGAAACCATACACGTCCGAATAGAGAAAAGAGTATGTCGAGAAGAGGAGATACAGAATGCCGTAAAGCGTAGCGTAGTACAGGCACATGACCGTGACAATCGGGTAGAAAACCAATAGTTTCACAGGGCGGAGAAAGCTGGTTCTCAGAAGCTCCCGGCGTCTGAGATCGCTTTCCAGCTTCGATTTGTACCTCGAGTCTCCCGTCTCAAATCTGATACTTTCTGCTTTTCTTTCGAGTAGGACAGGAGCGTAAGTCTCAGTCAAAGTAAGGAAGGCAACAACTGTGACAACTCCAAGCTAGCGAAGATTAGTATAACGTATTCTAAGTCAGAAAATCTTCCACCTTCAACTTACTGCAATTGAAAGGACCCAGAATATCCATCTCCACCCATATGCCTGGGCTACAAAACCACCAATTATAGGGCCAACTGCTGGACCAAGAATAGTGCCCACCGACCAAATCGACACAGCCTTTCCTCTGGTCTCTCTCGGCATCATATCTGCAATAGTTCCTGAACCAATCGTGAGCGTAGCCACACCTGTGAAACCCGAAAAGAAACGGGCGGTCAGAAGCATCGCTTGGTTCTCCGAGAGAGCACACATGACAGTGAAGCCCAGGAACAAGACGTTTGATACATTATAAAGTATGACGCGGCCATAAATCTCGCTCAGTGGTGCGAACAGTAACGGCCCAACAGCGAACCCGAGTACAAAGATCGATACGACGAAGGTGGAGAACGTTTCTGAGGTGGTGTGGAACTCTTTCATTACGAGCTCAACGCCCGGTGCAATCAACGAGGATACTAGAGGGCTATTGTAAGAGAACTGATTAGTATTCTTCATCAGTAAATATTGACCTTTCCTTACATGATGAAGCCAATAAATGCAAGTACACCAATATTCAGCCATTTTTTCCTTGCCGGCCAGTTCATAGGGTTTTCCGGGTCTTGGTCTGCCGGCTCATCCCACCATACAATAAACTCCTTATCTTCTTCATTTAAAATTATTGACGATTGTTGTCGCTGGTGTATATCCCTGGGTGCTCGAGCATTCTGTTCGGTGTTATAAGGATTCCTTTTGTCATCGTAAGGAGGTAAAGTTGGTGAATATAGTCCAAAAGAGAGTGGATTCCAACTCAGATGAGCTGTTACTTTAATTGGCTTAAGCCAATAAGACGTTTTTTCGAGAGACGACATTACATTGTACCAGCGAACCTGAAGAACCTCAAGAGGAATTGGGGGGAGTAAGGGAGTATGTAACGGTAACCACGGGCAAACCTTGAGAAGATGTCCAGGGATCACGCAGTGAAAGGCTTCTTTCCTCGTATGCATAAATTTACCATGGGCAGAGATTTCTGACGATGGGTTGCGTCGATCTACCGGTAAATAATAGCTCATTGACTATTCTGTCTGTTATACAGAACTAGTACAAAACACGTTTTAAACCTTAACCACGTAGGGCGATGGAGGGGGGCAAGACCTCAAAATGAGAAGGTTTACTCAGCTGTAATTTACATAAGACAACGTGGTGTGTCCTTGAGGACACCCTCCATACAGTTCAGTATCGTATTGGTGCCACCAGTGCAGCGGTGTCACACGCTAGCTCCATAATCCACTTTTCTAGACCGCCAAAGCTTCGTATGGAAAATGATGACTGCAGCAAAAGCGCCACCTACTTCCAATTCTGTTCTTCCGAGTTCTCACAATTCTTGATTAATCCCGAAAACCGACTGCTAGATTTTGATTCAGATACTCTACAAGTGAAATCTAATGAGACTTTTGCAGTATATGATGACGGGAACTATTTTAATATACACAGATCCTGAGGCAAAGACTTCAATCCTTAATAGCGACAGTAACCAATAACTCCATATCCATTCGAATTCCGTCTGCCGTCGTAAATTTAGCCCACTCCACCTTCATGTCCTCTCTTGCCTTTGGCCGCAAATTCAGGGGAATTCCCCCATACGTAGCTCCAGATGAGCTCGTATCCAACCACTCAATCATGGCTGCTCCATCTTGGGCGATTTTGACGATGTTGTTAATGACGATTTCCCTCTTTGAGAACCCAGCCTGGTCAAGCAGCCCTTCGATCTCGCTCCTCTTAAGGAACTTGGGGCCATTCTCCTGTGGGTAGGCCGAGTACGGATCTTTCGAAAGCACATCATCCTTGATCTTCTCGTGAATTGCGACAAAGTCTCCAGATCCTCCTGACATTCCAAGCCGGCCTCCCGGCTTGAGTACACGAGCAAACTCGGCCATTGCCGCTGGCTGGTCCTGAACCCAATGGAAGGTAGAGTTCACAAAAACGACATCAAAACTGGATGATGAGAAACGTGACAGATCCTCGGCTTTGCCCTCATAGAATGACAATATTGGGTTGATTAAGGCAAGTTCGTGTGCGAGGGTAATGCGTTCCTTGCTTGGGTCAATACCCACGACGGCCCCGTCTTTTCCGACAATGTCACCTATATGGGCTGTAATATTGCCAGGTCCGCAGCCGACATCGAAAACTCGCTCTCCGGATTGGATATTAAGTCTTTTGAGAAGAAATAGACCGGCATCGAATTGGGTGTTGCTAACAACTGTATATCCCTTGGCCAGTTCTTCAGTGTCGACAATCACCATGGTTGCTTGTGATGGTTGAAACTGCTTTTGAAATAGTAATAAAAAATTCCGTCAGGTGGTGATGGTCAGAAAGTTGCGATGATTTTGGTGGATTTTGCTGAGTGTTTGGTGGGATATATTCCTTCTTCTAGGTGGAATCTAGACAGATTCTACCCAGAAGTCCGTGCCCAAGAAAAATAGTACCTAGGGCTTTCAATCTTAGCGCGGGAAAGTATAACTTGCGACATTCTCGCAACCCCAGCTTCGATATGCTGTATAAAAGTTAAATGCCATTGAATCATAACTTCCTGGTTGGTGGTTTCTCTTCTCAAAATGGTGAGGCTGAGCCTAAGCCTGGAAAGAGGACAGGGAATCAGAAAAAGACTTTACCACTCGTAATACATTTGAACAGCACGCGTTTTCTGGTGGAGAGCTTCTACTGCAAGGTACAATAGTGTAGTTTCAAAGGTTCCACAGACTGGGAGAATGGACGTGCGCCTCTGCGCCTCTCGTACAGTACGGTAGCGTGGCAAAATGTGGAGTGGTGGCTTGCCAGGGGTTGGCGCTCGTTTAGTCAGAAAGGAGCTGTTTTGAGCAGATTACAAGGATAACGCTCACCTAATTTAGAAAAGGCGTTTTGAGCTAATTACAGGGGTATACATGCTCATCCAAGAAGTCGATTTAAGTCATTTTTCGACGCACGGCTCGGCAAATGTAATGGATAGATTCTTCTTGTTTTATTGAAAGAAAAAACAGGTTCTTCTAGAGAAATCTGGAATCTCTAGTTCTGGATCTATATATTACGTGTCGTTTATAGATTATATAGATCTGAAGTCTAGTTTTAAGCTATTATATAATTATATTGCGAGTGTTTTAAGTAAAGTAAAAATGTTAACTTTTTATATAACGTGCATGTATAGCGAACCGGCCAAAACCCGGCGACCCCACCACACCTCCACGAAATATTAAATTTCTCTACAACGAAGGTTGCCTCTGAAAAATGACGAAAGCCGGTTAGTCTTAGCTATCCAAGCTATGCAAAAAGACCCAAATTTACGTCCTCGAGCTGCTGCCAGGACCTATTCTGTAGACCACCGGAAGCTAGGTCGACGTTTGCTTGGTATACCTTCACGACGCGATATTTTAGCCAATTCACGGAAAATGACCGAGCTAGAGGAATCAGTACTTGTTCAACATATCCTCGACCTAGCTACAAAAGGATTTGCTCCGCGGATATCTGTAGTGGAAGATATAGCAAATCGACTTCTTGAAGCACGCGACGCGCCACGCGTCGGGACGCGTTGGGCTTATAACTTTGTTAAGCGCCGCCCAGAACTCCAGACACGCTTCCAACGAAAATACGACTATCAGAGAGCTAAGTGCGAAGATCCAGAAGTCATTCGTGGCTGGTTTGAGCTTGTACGAAACACAATAGCGAAGTACGGAATCTACGATGCAGATATCTACAACTTTGACGAGACTGGGTTTATGATGGGCGTTATCTCAACTGCAATGGTTATTACAAGCTCAGAAGGACGTGTAAAAGCAAAAAGAGTACAGCCTGGTAATCGGGAATGGGTTACAGTAATCCAGGGGGTTAATGCCCAAGGCTGGTGTGTTCCACCGTTTGTGATTGTTGCCGCAAAAAATCACCTCGCTTCTTGGTACCAAAACAGTGGATTTCCACCTAACTGGGTGATTGCTATTACTGAAAATGGTTGGACAACAAATGAGAAAGGCATGGATTGGATTCGACATTTTGAGAAGCATACAAAGTCCCAATCTATTGGTGGTTATCGTCTATTAGTCCTCGACGGCCATGAAAGCCACCACTCCGACGAATTTGAGGAATATTGCAAGGAAAACAACATTATCACTCTTTGTATGCCTGCTCATTCTTCTCATATACTCCAGCCACTCGACGTTGGCTGTTTTAGCCCTTTGAAAAGGGCATATGGTCAGCAAATTGAAGATATGATGCGGGCTCAGATCATCCATATTACTAAGGATGATTTCTTTCCTGCCTTCCACGCCGCATTTAATATTGCAATGACAGAAAGCAATATCCGAGGAGGGTTCCGAGGGGCTGGGCTTCTTCCATTTGACCCAGAAAGTGTAATTTCTACACTTGATCTTAAGCTAAAGACGCCAACGCCTCCAAACTCCCCCCCGTATTCCGCTCAGCCTTGGGTTTCCCAGACACCAAATAACCCTACTGAAGCCTTATCACAGACTGCATTTATTAAAGATCGAATTTTACGCCACCAAAGTAGCTCTCCAACCCCTATTTACGAGGCCATTGACCAGTTTACGAAGGGTGCATCAAAAGTAATGCACCAGATAGTACTATTGAAAGCTGAGAACCAGAGACTTCGACAAGCAAATGAAGTACTAAGTAAGCGCCGTAGAGCTAAAAAAACACGCCTACAGCAAGGAGGATCACTTAGTCAACAGGAAGCGCAGGACCTACAGGATGATAGAGACGTTGGTGAGCAGGTAATGCAGGAAATAAAGAGAAGTAGTGGTCGGAAGCCGAGGGAAGAATCACGTGCACGGCGCTGTGGCAACTGCGGAGAGACTGGTCATAATACGCGCACCTGTAATATTATAGAGGAAGTATCTGAGGAAGAAATTTCTGAATAGTGTTTTTTAATTAGAGGCGTTGTGGTAGAGTTCTTACAATTTCAATCGCGAGTGTAGAAAATTTTGGCCGGTTCGCTTGTTTGGCCGGTTCGCTATACATGCACGTTATAGTAAATACTAGACTAAATTTTAATTATTAATCCTATAACCCAAGACCTCTTCTTAGCCCTATACGCATGTTATATGAAAATGTAAAGTTTATTAAACGAGTTATAGAACTCGTTAAACTAGTATTTACTAAATAAATGCTACAAACACTATAGAAACCTCCCTATTGTAACGAATACTCAAACTGGCTAACTAAACTTGGCTGGGTGTTCGCTGGTTGGTATGCTATGATAAGAAGAAGACTATCGGGTTGTTCACTTGGAAGTGAACTCGTTACTTGTATCAAAGATGTCAAACTAATATGATAAGATTGATAACTAAGTTGAGCACGAAGCTCCTATCTAATGGCAGACGTGCCAGTCTTATGTAGAACCTTCGTTCCCTGATTGATCGCTCTAGTCGCTCGCCCTGATCGCTTCAGTCGACCGGCGACTCAGGCGACTAGAAGAACCCTCGTTCTCTGATTGATCGCTCTGCTCGCCCTGATCGCTTCAGTCGACAGGCGACTCAGGCGACTAGAAGAACCCTCGTTCTCTGATTGATCGCTCTGCTCGCCCTGATCGCTTCAGTCGACAGGCGACTCAGGCGACTAGAAGAACCTCCGTTCTCTGATTGATCGCTCTGCTCGCCCTGATCGCTTCAGTCGACAGGCGACTCAGGCGACTAGATCACGTGATTTTCTAACCAGAAGAAATCCCTGGATCGCTTAGCTAGTCTAATTGATCCCTTTCTTGCTATAAGTCCATGGATGTGCTTAACCTGTCAGGACGCCGCCTGGTCTTCCTTTGTCACATGCATTACTACACGTGATTCGTGACACCTATATAGATGGATAATGTAAACTATGTAAATTGTCTCTTGCTAGTAAGATCTCCTAGAAGACACAATATACTAGACAAGCATTTGTAAGATGCTTTTAATGTGGGATATATTTGCTATAGCGTGGGCAATATAGCTAGTCTTATCTTTGTCTCTAATCTACTAAAAGGTTCTCGCTCTTTATACGTTTGATCCACTTCTACGGAAATGAAGCTTTTTGCTACAACAATACGTCCTTTTATAAGTTTTAGTCTAATGTATTAGGAAGCGCTATTGAACTGGTGTAGATTTTGGTGGTATCTGGTTCACATCTAAAACAGTACAAAACACTATGTCTCATTAAAGAAAATAAGACCGATCATGTTGTTACGAGTTGGTAGTGGATGCAGCGGATCATAATAACTGTTCCGTCACCGAGTCAGAGACGAGAAGCTGGGATTTGGTACTCTCTTCTACTGTTCTTTCTGCACTTCTCCGCTCTGTAGTTTATTCAGGAGTTTCTGTAACTCAAATTCGGATGACATTGCATCGAAGAGGGATGGAGCTACATCCTGAACCTGCGCTTTAAAAGTACCACTTGAAGGTTCATGGATCATGGCCTTTTCTTTGGGCAGCTGGGTTCCAAGATGATTTACAGCAAAACACACGTTTTGATTGTAAGTGGGTGAGAGTTAGGTAGTCTCGCCAGTTATGATAGAATATTGGATATCACAGGAGACTGGTTAAATGCAAGTTTTTTGAATAAAAGTGCCCTGGGTTTATTTACATGGCTTTGGGCTATTAATTTTACGCGCACCCACTTGAGTTATATTATATATATATCACAAGCAATGCGTATTGGTACCGTCTCTTATTAAACAAACATAGTAACGAATAGCGAAACACTTTCTAATAACATCATTTCTACTTCTAAATTGGGAATACGCCCTCTTTATAACATTTTCCTCTCAATAACATGCAAGAACATAATTGTAGAACGCCGTCCAAGAAACTTCTCAAACTGAAACGTATAAGTAAATAGCTGTTGTTCATTGTGAATGAGGAAGATACTCTCTACTGGGATATATAACCCACTATCTATTGTAAACTCCTCATTAACAACACCACCAAAACATCGTATGCTAGTAACATTATCTTGAGCTCGTTAGTCCCACCTACATCCTCCTTGCGGTCTGCTCGCCTCGCCAAGTTCTAGCTAGTCTATTATGAGCTCTTTTGTCCTACCCACATACCCCTCGCTAGTAGCTCGCCGTAATATGTAAGATTACTAGCGCGAGTCTTATAGTGGAACTTTATATGTTATTTAGTTCTTAGAGTGTTTCCGAAGTTATCGCCCCACTCTATACTTTGTATTCTACCAGATAGATTTAGTCTATAATGTGGTCGAAGTCCGAGCACTTAGCGTGTGCTTTTTTATTGGAACCTGTGTTCTTCCTTTTACAGGTTGTGTGCTTGTTTGTAAGCTGTGTACTTATTTTAATTTAGTTACTGCTCCCGCAAAGGACGCGTGGCCGAGGGTGCTCATTCTTCGCTTTCCACTTATATATGGGCGAATTATAAGCACTTAAAGCTAGCCAGCAATACAAAAGAAAACCAACAATAAGCCTCATTCTATGTGACGTGTACCGACTAACGAATGAACATAATTAGCCTTCTAACTTTCCACCTAGGGACCGTTCGTGAATCGCTCTTTCCTATGCTTAAATATTTGTATGATACACCCATTGCTTTGTAGATATGAGGCTGTTTAAGCATATGTAAGTACTGGAGAAGATGATATACTACTTCCTAATAAACAAAAATCTTGAAAGACCAACTGATCATGTTTTTATCGTCATTTTGACCTGCGTCTAAATGAGCAGGTTGTGAAAGTGTTCAGAAGTGACTGAACCCTAAATCGATTTAGCTTATTCGCTATTATCGATATGTGTGAATTAGATGTATGTAAAATGACATGCCAAAGTACGAATGTTTTGTTACCCTTACCCATGAATTCAAAAAAAGTTGAAAGATTATTCATGTATTATTCAAAGGGATCTGAATCTACAGATAGATAACAAGAAAGTCGAAAAGTCCCCCAGGCACGAACCAAGCTCTTAACTATAAAATAAACCCGGACTAAGAGCGACTACACTACAGATCAGCTAGTGATCTTCCTTAACTCCAAGTAAAAGTCAAGCGCGAAAGGGCTTAAACTAGAAAGGGGGGTTCAAGGTAACATCGAAATTCAAGTTAGAAAGGGGATGGAATGACATCGTCGATGATTTATACAAATCAAGTTCGCAGCTATCTCTAACTACTTCGAACCGGACTTTTCTATACATAAATGAAAGTCAGTGCCTGTGTAAAAGGAAGGACTATAGGGCAGATCTTGTCATACTGATGTCAGGCGCCTAACACAGCCTCGCTTAGCGCGGGAGGCCCCTATTCCCCAATCATGTTTACATAAACCCTCGCCACCTCGCATCATCACTTTCCATTGCTCGTATGACTGCACTGAACAGGAGGCATTACGTTCTTTTGCTTGAAAAACTGGGTATGACTCTAAATATAAATAGTAAGGTTTAACAGCTTCCTGCGGGTTGACATGAAGAATCCACGAAGGGATGTGAGTGAAGGAAATCTAATCTATCAGAGTGATGTCCACTCCCGCCAAGACAACTTTCCTATAACGTATGAAGGTGAATGTACTCTGTATATAACTTCACCTTCACCTCCAAGCTTCTCTTCTTCCGTGCCTAAAGGTACATTCAGTGTCTTTCCATCTTCACCTCCACCCTCCAAACTTGGTATTTAAGGACCCAGCATCTCCATCAATAACTTCTACATCCATCAAATCAAACGTCCACCCACAAATCAACGACCAAAATGCAATTCTCAACCCTTCTCGCGATTTCACTACTCTCTCCCCTTTCCCTCTCAGCAGCCCGTATCTACGGAATAGCCGTACCTACAACCATCGCCCCAGGTATACCATTCACCCTCCAAGTCCTCACACAAAACTACATCCAGACAGTCTACGACAGTTCGTCTTCCCAACATCCCCAATCATCTAACAAAACCATAACCCCATTCCACCCACCCATTCCCACCTCATTCCACCCTCCCCCGAAACATACACAGCTAACCCCCAACCCCGCAGTCGCAATAGCCATCGGCATCCAACCAAGCCCGGGACACCCAAAAACCCTCGGAACCGTCCTGACAACCGCATATCTGGGCCCCGAAAAATCCAACATCATCACACCGCTAAACTACACGCTTACCATCGACCCCCGTACCCCGAAAGGCACTAATTTCACGATCGTCGCGTCGCTGATGAGCTTGTATGGTGTGAGTAGTGGCCCCGTCTTGGGTTTCTGGAATCAGACGGTTGCGGTTGGGGAGGAGACGAGTGAGGTGTATGTTAGGACCCCAGATTGAGGTCTGGCATAAGTAGATTGATTGAGGGGTTGAGATGGTGAGATGGTTGGCTGGCTGGGGTTAGGGTTGGAATGTTTTCCGGGGCTGGGGGTTGTTGATGTTAATCGTGCATTGGGGAGGATAAGGGGATACCCAAGGTTGAGGTCGTAATTCTTTGGATCAAAAGTTCATTGGAGGAGCGATTAATGGGTAAGGATATAAAATGTTTATGTCCTAATACATTGGCCCCTCAGTTTCCGATGGTTTATATGAACATCTGACTAATATATATAAGCGTGTTAGGTTACCTACATATAATGATATGCCATAGTAATTTCCAGTTCTGCAGCTTGACAAGACATCCAATTTATAGTTGCCACTTCCCATGCCAAGTGGTTACACTAAGGTTAGGATCTACGTATTTTGGACGGACATTACCTGCAACAGATTTGCAGAACTTGTATACCACTTTCGCGTGAATACATGTGTACCAACTCAAATGATAGTATGTTTCTAGAAGTATGCCAAAATCACGTCCCAAGCTTTTCACAACCTACTTAGTACTGCCCCCTTTTCCAAAATACGGTATTATCCCTTCCAGACTCGAGAGTGCCGGGTGCGGTCGTGCGCACTGGTGGATATAATATATGGGTCAAATTGAGGCTTAAGACCTTGGAAAGTGGGTTTATAGATCTTAAACCTCAATACGTAAAAACACATTAATAAAGATATAAAAAGATTTCTATGCTCGTATACCAGCCACTATAATAAATCGTATAGCAACGTGTATAAATATATAGAGAAATGTCTAGAGATTCTATAGAAATCATCACTTCTGTTTTCCTTTACAAAATCGTCCCAAAATTGTAGTATATCTACGGAGGTACCACACTACCAGTGCTAAAGTACGCCACCAAGAATTTGTGATCAGCATTGGCAGTATGTGCACACGCATAAAGTGCTTGGAAAGTGGATAATTTTACTCCACCAGGAACGCACGACCGCACCCGGCACTCTCGAGTCTGGAAGGGATACCAGGTATCCCAATCTATCCTGCGAAGCGCCCAGAAAGGACCTTATAATTGAACTTCAATTTCTCAAACCGGATTTTGGCTTTGCACGATACAAGAATATCCATCTATTACAGCAATCGAATACCCTTAGTGAATACCAGATCTCTCCCCCGAACTCAGCCTCTCACGTGTCTACCCCCATCACCCGGGCACTACGCGGCGCATTCGCGAAATCTAATTGGCCAAATATTGGTCCACAAACCAAGATTCTAATCATATCTACAAATAAGCCCTCCACTATCCCAAAACTTGATACTGTGCGCCTGGTCAAGTCAGGAGGTGTTCAAAGATTTGGAAATGCGTTTGACCACTGCAAAAAAATACTTGAGATATTGGAACTCCACAAAATAGTGTATCAGTGAATCCCCCGCTCAAAGGAAATTTGGAGGTCTCAAGTATGTGGGAAGAATAATGTAACACCTCTTGTTCCGTTAAAAAAATCTAGCTACCTAAAAGCGCAGGCAGTGGGTGTGGGTCTTTCTCCTGACAGACCGAAAGTTCTGCATAAGGTTTTGCCAGTTTGATCTTTGGCGTCTTTTTTTGGGGGGAGTTTTTTAGATGGTACTCCATCGCCAGTCCATTCCACTGTATACTTAGCGAGCCCAACGAGGCAATCCCACCCTCCATCCTCAATACGAAGACTTAACATCCCCCCCATACACCACCTTCCTAAGCATCTCCCTCTTACAATCACCAACCCTCTGAATCCCAGCAAGACCCATAGATTGGTCCAGATCCGCCAGAATGCCCTGAAGAACCTCTTTGGCTCCGGCCTACACCAAACAGTCAGTCAAAGACAATCGTTCTTCTAGATGCTCCTCATACCTTTCCCGCAATTCCCAGTCCGTAAATTACCGGTCTGCCCACCAGCACCGCTTTCGCACCGAGCGAGAGTGCTTTAATGATATCGGCTGCTGTTCGGATCCCGCTGTCGAAGAGAACGGTCGCTTTGTCGCCTACCGCATCCACGATCTCGGGAAGCATTTCTAGAGATGCGACGGCGCCGTCGAGTTGTCGTCCTAGAGAGGTTCAGTTACAGTATGGTTTGGAGGAGAGGGAACTAACCTCCGTGATTTGATACGATAATCCCATCGCATCCGTGCTCAATTGCGAGTTTGGCATCTTCCGGATGCTTCTGTGGAATCAGCCCATGTCCGACTTCCCAGCTGGTGGAAATATACCTGAATTCCCTTCAGCACAAGCGGTCCCTCCCAGTTGTCCCTCAGTAATTTCAGTCGGTCCCAAGTATGCGACTTGCCAGAAACGACGTCGCCGAGCCAAGCTACGGAGGCCTGTACACTTTAGCAACTGTCTTCTTGCCTCTTCACAAGAAACACACTTCTACAATATTCTCCTCCGGCTCATGGCCAAATTTCGCCCGGCACTTTCGACGAAAGACCGGATCCGAGAGCCCAACTTGAACCCCAGTCCCTTTGATAAACGGTACATAACCATTATCCAAATCCGCCGGTCTCCAAGCCAGCGCCCAAGTATCAAGCGTCACAACGAGGACTTTGAATCCATTCTTCTTGGCGCGGTCCAGAAGCGAGAGCGTGACTTCGTCATCTTGGGGCCAGTACAGTTGATACCAACGCGGACCATTTCCGCTCGCCTCCGCGACCTCTTCTATGGTCGAGGAAGCTGCGGTACTCATGATGAATGGGACATCGAGCTCTGCGCAGACTTCCGCCAGTCCCGTTTCCTTGTCTTCATGGAAGATGGATTGGACGCCAATTGGAGCCATCAAGATCGGGGTTTCTATCAACATCAGCATCTGTTCAACTCGCTCACTTTCTTGTCAATCCGGTTTGAAAGGTTGGACTACCATATTTTTCACCAAACAACTCGATGGTGAGATCACGGATACTGGTCTCTCTCAGCATCCGAGGGACCAGTTTCCACTGTCGAAAAGCGAGTCGATTCGCGTCCATTGTGGCTTTCTCCCCGGCTCCGCCGGCAATGTAGTTGTATGATGTCTCTGGAAGTTTTTCTTTGGCTTGTGCTGCTAATTTATTGGGGTCGGTGGTCACGAGAGGGAACTTGTTGAGGAATGTTCCATCTGTTGGTCTTCTTAATTGTCTGTATGGTCTCATTGAACAGCTGCAGGGGCGTGACATACCTCGATATATGTTGGACTGGTGAGCACCATAATCGCGTTTGTTTTTCTTTCCCTGTGTGAGGCTGAGCTTTGGAACGGCTTCGTTTGAAGACATAATGATTCGCGAGATTGGGAATTATCTTGAAGGCGAGTTGATTGTGAGAGTGAGATTGTATGATGACTCGTATGTAAGCCGAGGTACGCTACAGCACATACTATACTGTAATCTTACTCGATACATGTAGAACTTCACCACCTAAACCCCATTAACCCAATTCCAACACCAAATATCACCAAATCTCACCTCACCTCACCACCAAAAAAACAATTCTCAAAAACCTTCCCAAGCACCAACCTATCCAACCCCCCTCCAACAAAACCCCAAACATATACGACCTCCAAAACCACCCTCGGCCCACATCACAGTAAGGTTAACCCCCAACTCTATCTCACCACCCCCCAAGCTTCCCCACGGGAAAACCCACCCGTTTACCCGTTCGTCTACCCCGCAATCTGCCACCCCACCACGCCGGTCGCCGCTCGCTCGCTAACAGAACGAACCCGAGTGCCGCACGCCCGCTGATTGGCCCCCCCAACTGCCATTTCATCCAAGAATACTGGTAGGGTCGATCCTCAAACAGGTACGGCCTCGTGATACACGGGGTCACGTCCAGGAATCCACGCCTCGCAGACTAGAAACTGGAAAGTCTAACTGCGAACGAGTCAAACGTGCCTATTTGTCAGTTGTAAAAAGAGCGAAAGGTGCTTAAGAGCCGTCCTACTAACAAGTATCGACAAACTGCCGAAGAACAAATAAAGTATTCTTTGAGGAAGATGCAAGGCGGGGAGGGACAGGGTAGAGAAACGGGAGAGAGTAAACTCAAGAAAAAAGCGGGATTCTTGGCACCTACCTGTTTCGAGTCTCTCTATGCATTCGCATCCACGAACAAAGAGCGAATGTGGGGTTTCTGGTGTGTACGCGCCACGTCATTTCATTTAAAGTTCCATCAAAACAGTAGATGGATTTCTGTTCCTGCAGTCCCCCTTTCCAGAAATTTCTCTCTTACGCAACGCACTGGATTCCCATTCGTCTTCAAAGCACACCTGTATCACCATCCCAACCACAATAGCACGACGATGACCGAGCTCGACGTCCCCAAGAGGCATTTGGCGCTCGTGTATGATGCCCCAGGCTCCATTTCGGTTAAGACGGTAGAGGTGGATACCCCTGAGCCGGGGGTGGGTGAGGTGTTGGTGCGATTGTATGTTTTCTTTTTCTTACCTCCCCTGCGAGATGGATGGGATGTATTGGACAGAGAACTGATAAAGTCTAAGAACACATACGGGAGTTTGTCACAGTGATCTGGGGGTTATGGAGAATAAATTTAAAGGATGTAAGGCAGTGTTTTAACCCCGCCGTTGGAAAAACCCACCCAAGTTCAAGCCCCGATCAAGAGTGGACAACACTCGGTTCGGGGTCATGATCTAGTTTTTTCTTTTCTTTTCAGAATTCAAACCCGAAGGGAAAGAAAGAAAGAAAGAAAGAAAGAAAGAAAGAAAAAAAATAAAGAGAGAAAAACAAGATGATGAAAAAAAAAGGGGGATGAAAAAGACTAGAAATAGCAACCCCACCCCACACAACAACACAACATCCATACCAACTTACTCTCGTAAAACTTCCAAGCAATCCAACTTGCTAATCTACATCCTAAAAAAACAGTACCCCTTCCAACACTTGCAGGGCAAATCGGAGGGCACGAAGGAATTGGCATAGTCCACAAACTCGGCCCAGGTCAAGAAGACAGCCGAGTCAAACTCGGGGACCGGGTAGGAATAAAGGTAAGTTTGTCCTCATAGTCAACACCACACATCTCATACCCCCAATACCAAATACCCAGTTCGAATGACATAGCTGACACTATTCGGTTAGTGGGTAGCATATGCTTGCGGCGCTTGTTTACCATGTTTAGAAGGGAGAGATGGCGTGTGTTTTGTAAGACTCCCCGATGAAGAAAAAAGTAAGAGGATTATGAGACGTTTTGGCTGATGTGACTCGCTCGAAAAAAAGAACCAGAAAATATCGGGGTACTATTGTAAGTCCTCGCGAAATTGTGAAGGGAGGGAAGACAGACTGAGACGTTTATAGACCCGGGGACTTTTCAACAATACGCAATCGCACCCGCGAATTACGTGACACCCATACCATCCGGACTATCCTCAGAAGAGGCAGCGCCCATGATGTGCGCTGGTCTCACCACGTATGTTCCCTCCTCTCAGAAATTTGAGCACAGCCTCAAGGCCGCTATTTGGGCCGCATGAATTAGCCGAGGCCACCCAAAAAACCCCCTAACTAACACCGTTTAGGTACTCGGCCTTGAGAAAGTCGGATGCGAAAAGTGGACAGTGGGTTGTGATTTGTACGGTGATCTCCGTTTTCTTTAAGCAGGTTGGGTAGATTGATCTTTTTACTGACTTTGGAATAGCTGGTGCTGGTGGTGGCTTGGTGAGAAGATTTTCCGGATGCCGTTGAGGAGTTTGTTAGAGGTATGGTTACTAAGACGTTTTATTGTAGGGACATATTGCAACGCAGATTGGGGCCTTTGGAATGGCTTTTAGGATCATTGGGATTGATCATGGGAGTAAGGAGGAGCTTGTTAAAGAGTGTGGTGCAGAGGTGTTTCTTGATGTTACGAAGTTTGATACCAAGACGATGACGCAAGAAATCAAGAATATAACAGGGGGTTTAGGTGCGAGCGCGGTGATTGTCTGCACATCTTCGAATAAAGCATATGCTCAGGGACTCGGATTCTTGAGGTTTGGAGGGACGATGGTTTGTGTGGGGTTACCGGAGGGTGATGCCGAGCCGATCGCAACTGCTTTCGCGGGTTCAATGGTAAGTCGGACCTATATTATAGGTATACCATTCGTACACTAATACCTCCTAGATTACCATGGAACATGTCATCAGAGGTTCAGCTCTAGGCAACCAACGGGAAGCTTCAGAGATTCTTGATCTTGCGGTCAGGGGTAAGGTGAAGACTCATGTCCAGGTGAGAAAAATGAACGAGTTGACGGAAGTTTTCAATGAGATGTCAAAAGGGCAAATGCACGGTAGAGTGGTACTCGACCTTCAATGATCTTTCAGCATAGTTTGTGCTTTAACGCGGGAATTTCCATATGTAACATAGATAATGAATTTGGCCACGAGGGCTGAATGGGGGCCATGAATGACAGCATCAGCGAGGAGTCAAACAAGCGCTCGTACTAGAAAGGAATAAAGATATCCAGATTAACTTTCGCAAATTGGACGATAAGTCACTTCGTGGGTTCTGGACTGCTATTGGAGTTCAAACGGTAAACGGGCCCCGAACTTCTCGCCCATCATTACAACAACTTGTCGTGCAGAATACTTGTAACAGAATTGTGGATTCGTGTTACACTGTTGCAGTGGTCAGAACTATATTCCAATGATAGATAGACCGACAAGGAAGAAAACAACGGGGCTTCAAACAGAATTCCACACTAGAAGAATATTCGAAGTAGTGGTATCCAATAGGACATGAAGCTTGAGCACAATAGCTATGCGATTATAGAAGGTTTGGTGCATCTTCAGCGGTAATTCCGGGAAAATGTCTGAGCACATGAGCGGCCATCATAAATCACTTGAGTGAGTGAGTTGTGTTTCTCACAGACGACCGTAAACAGAATGCCGAGTTTGCAGCCTATTCTTTTGCGGCCTCTTTTTGGGCCGCCTGAGGCTCAGACACCGCGGCTGTGAAGGTTGAACCATGGTGTCGGGACCAAAAAGTCACTGGACAAGTGCATGGAATTGACGCATGAGAAAATGGTCATCGGTTCTGCGAGTTATCGTCAGTGAGTGGGAAAAAAGAAGGTGCGAGATATTTGGAGTTAGATTGTTGGCACTCGGTGTTGCTCTGAATCTGCAGGTGCGGGCGGCTTTTGGTGGAGAGAAATCGCTTTGGCTGTGTCAGTCGGTGTGCAGGCATCGGAGGCATCAAGCGGAACAGAATTATCTTTATCAAGCGGGATTGTTGTCAACGCACGGAATCATCTCTTTCTCCTGCAGAAAGTATGGGGAATGAGTAGTCGTCTCATCCTCTCCGGTGGGATTTCATCACAGACGCCGCGCTTATCGTGTAACTGTAGTGTCAAGTGTCCCCATCCCAGAGATTACTGTAGATACCAGAGACACAGGCAGAGGGCAGACCGCTCCCGGATTGGACAGAAACTGAGGCTGAAATTTGCCATCCAACTCGCCGTCCAACTCAATTAAAGCCCCCATTCGGTCATTATTCCGTTGGCAGGCGACAGTTGTCCAAATGCAAATGGTGGTGCATGAGAAAGTGACGGAGAGAGAGGCAGACGAGAAAAATCAGCCTTGTCCTGCTCCATTCGGTCGCCAAAAAGGCCGGCCCATCTGGTAGTGTTTTCAGTGACTCTCAGCCCGAATCAGCCCCAATTGCAAATGCCCGGAGAAAGAATGACCCCAATTGATATTCCCTTTACAAAAAAAAGTGCACCGAAAATGTTGACACGCGATGATGGAAAGTCTGTTTTTTGACGTAAAAGAGAATGCAGTAAAGAATCAAAGTGTATATGATTTCTGCGTGATTGTTGTGTGCATTACTTGTAAATATCAAGTTCGGCTGCTCCCTCTCGCCAAATCGTGGGGTTCGCTTCCTGGCCAGGAGCATCTCCAGCGGCCCTTAGCGGCCCGTCAAACCCCTGCCGACTTCCCCATCGCGAGGTTCGGTGGCTTTTCGCTTTACGAACTAACAACACCATCCATCCCACCTTCTCTCACATATCATCGAAGCCTTCCAGAAATATGGATGCCTTGGTCTCTAGAGCAGGTCACCTTTCGTGCGACCCATCAGGTCCACCCGGTCACTTTTCTGGCCGCGATGATTAAACTACGTTGGGAGGGGCGAGGCTGAGTGTCGCTCTCACGCCCAAATCCAAGAAACTAACAAAAAAAGACAATTAGAGTCAGTAGAAGGGGGCGATTCGTCGCTCCTTATAAGTCGATCGATTCCCGCCATGAGTCTAATGATCTTATCAAGCGATACGCCAAACTCCCATGTCTCCTCCGCATTTAAGATTCAGTCAGCTTTCTATTGCTTCCAAGATGCAGACGTCCCCAAGCTCCCGCCGCGAGCAATCGAGCGGACAAGGAATCTCACATAATACACCAACTCCAACTTCAAATCGCAACTCAGCCAGACCTTCACCCAGCCAATCTTCATTCCAAGAAGAGGAAGACGATTCCAATGTGGAAGAAGAGACGGACGAGTCCGAAGACGAGGAGGATGAAGATACACAGGCATCCGGGAACCATCAACTCTTCGCCCTCGACCATTGCCGGCAGCATGAACAAACCTTTGCTTTTCAAATCGCCTCTGCGGATGTCAAAACATACAGTATCCGTATCAACACACAAGCATCTGCCGGGCCAGTTTGCTCTTGTGAAGAAGAGGAAACCTGTCAGCATATACTTTGGTTACTCGAACAATTAAAGGATGGCATAGAGCCAGACATCGACCCAAATCTTAGCCCCCAGGAACGATTGCATAGAACTGGTCTTGACAACATCTGCCACACACTGCGCTGGGAGTTGAGGGAATTTCATGACGATGGGCCAGCGGAGAATGAATATCAGTTGGTGAAGATGCTCGATGCAAACTCCAGTTCCTCTGCCAGCGTCGTCCCCCCACCAAGCCAAGGCACAAGGCAACGATTGGAGCTGAGATTGTTTGATGTTCGGGATATTATGGCAACCCTATCACATCATGAAGTGGTAGAGACCTATAGACCAGACATTTTTGACAATGGTGGCCGTGGTACACTGGATTATACCGTGGTGCCTCGAGATCTGGAAGCATCCTTGGCGCGAATTCTCGTACACAATGACCGGATTTTCCATCAATTCAAATCCTTTGTACCTCCGAATGTCCGTGCGGAAGAATACTTTCTCATGATGGTCTACAAAGCAAAATTCACCTGTGAGCAATTAGATCATTACGCTGCTCACGGCCCCGAATCTATAGGTCAAATTCACGATGTCATCTGGTGCGGAAAACAATTAGCTGAGATTATCGAATCCATCCACAAAAACATTGGGCAAAGGGAGCTCTCCGCCCAGTCCCGTGAAGTAGCTGCCAAAGCCTTGATTGACATCTTGCAATTCGTTATCCAGAAGAATACCGAAGTCTATTCTGAACCAATGAACTGGGCAAGGCGACGACCTCATGGAGAGCGAAACATTGATCGCAATCTTTACATGCGCTTGATTGGAACCGCATCTCCAGATAATCCTGCCAAAGGGACTTTTGTGCTCAATGCCCTACAGGCATTACCGGAAGCTGTTCGTTTCGTTGATGAATTAGAAGAGATTCTGGGGCTCTTGACAGTCGAACCAGGGTACAGGCCACCTCCGCTCTACACGAACAAATTACGCGATATCATCTTTCGCCTGAAGCGAAGAAACAGTCCTGGCGCGTCCTCTTCGGGAAAGAGACCAGCTAGCAGCATGGACCGTCAAGCTAAACGAATGAAGTGAGCACCAACACAACTCATGATCAGACTTAACATTGGACAATCTTCTGTTCAGTTTGTAATCTGTCATTACGGCATCTCTCCTCCTTTCTCTTCTCTGTTTATCTTTATTTTCATTTCTTTGGATACGAGTCAGGGGTATAGCATCTGGCATGCTATCCCAAAATCATTTATTTCTATTTTTATTTTTTAATTCGTTCGACTAGAGATTGAAAGACAATTTGGCGGTTTATTTTATTATTAGATTACGAGAATGGAATATTGATACCCTGAAGGTCTTTGTTTCATGGCTCGTGTGATGGCCTCCTGTTTTTTCTCATGGTTACTACAGTGGAGATTGAAGTACCCAAATCATCATCTTCATCCAAATTCTCCCTTGATTTCGCATTTGTCATCTCACTCTTGCTTATATCATCTCACATCCTGAGCTTTTTTCCTTCTCGATAGCCTCGAGGTCAATCAGAATGACCGGCTTGCCCTTCATTCTGCCGGATTGCGCAAGTTCAATGGCTCTTGGTACTTCTTCGATACCAACGAATGCGTTCGTTTGTACTTTGATTTTATGTTTTGAAACAGTCTCAAGCATTCTCTGGCACTCTAATCTTGAACCTGTAGGCTGTCAGCTAGTGCCATGACATGCAACGAGGATCCCACCTGTCAGACTGCCACGAATCTTAATATCACGAAAGACGAGCTCCATAAACGGGACGCTCACATTTTCAGGCTGCGCAATCTGGACCATCACCCCATGGTTTCTCGTAACTGCCGCAGCAGTAGCAGCAGCTGTTTCGTGGTCGCTGAAATTCAACGTGGCCTCGGCCCCAAGTTTTTCCGTTACTTTCTGTACTTCTTCCACCACTTTCTCTTTTCCTATCCGGGCGTCTACAACTACATCCCCGCCGCACTGCTGGGCAAGCTGCAACGCCTCCTCGCGAGCGTCAATAGCTATCACATACAGCCCGAGAGCCTTAGCGAACTGGACGCCTAGGTGACCCAATCCCCCACCGGCCCCAACCATGGCCACACTCTGTCCAGGCTTCAAATCCGCCTTCACCAACCCGCCCCCTACAGCACGAAATTAGTAAACCGCCCAGCGGAGTCAAGATAACGCTTACTTACAAGCAGTAAGTCCCGCACACGCCAACGGTGCCGCGCTCCGAAAACTCAGGTTCGGCGGTAACAAACACGCCTCCCTCCCATCCACCACCTCATACTCGGCAAACGAGCCATCGCGACTCACCCCCAGGTATTCCGTGGAGGGACAGTATTGCGGCTCCGCGCCCCGGCAGTCGACGCAGGTCCCGCACCGGTGGTAGGTCAGGCTGCAGAGGATGCGGTCTCCGATCTTGAAGTCGCGGATTGAGGAGCCGAGTTGCACGATGGTGCCGGAGCCTTCGTGGGAGGCGGTTAGGGGGAGGGGCGTTGAGGGGAAGGATCCTGCGAGGACCATGTGGTCGGTGTGGCAGAGGGATGCGGCGGCCACTTTTATGAGTAGGTCGTGGGGGGCGAGG